AAAGCTGTAGAAAATTCGCTGATGAGTTCTTACATAGCGCAAGTTGTAGGTCATCGCAGGTGTTTTTAAACAAGAAAATCCTTAACGCGTTCTTGGTACCGGAAAGGGCTGAAAATGGACCTCTAAACTCTGAAAAACGGGTTTCCCGCTAATATCTGGCTAAATATGCCAATTAGAGAATTTTTGTTCAGACAAAAAATGAAGATCAGCATTTCAGCTGCTGCTCTACCTGCAGGAATTCCATTTGCTATGAATTAACGTGTAAGCGGGCGGACGAATTGTTCCATATCTCGGGAAAAAATTGATATTTTTCGATGATTCAAAGTTCATCGCAATTGGAAAACCCGTAACTACAATTCCATGTCACTTGAAGTCAGTTCGTATTTGCCAAAAATATTTAAAAAAGCGGTCAAAGTTTTTTTCAAAAATATTTAGAGACTGCTTCATTAATTTATTCATATTTTCTTTAAAATAGTCATTTATTGTAATTTTGCCTTTATAATGGGACCTTGGGGGGTATTGAATGATCTCAGAATTTTTTTTGTAATACTTTTCTCGCATTTTAATACAAAATTGATTTGTTTATTTACATGTTTCAGCCGATTTCCGAGTTCCATAGAACCTTCGGAACAAGCGCGAATTATTATCTTATGATCCGTTATATTGATTTCCAATGCACATCATTTTAAAGCTTAGATGGTATACTTTTCGAATATATTTTTTTATTTTTAATTGAGTCTAATAATTTTCAAGAAATGAGGAAAATTGATCACACGAGTGAAACCGGCCTTTTTTTGTTTAACCATTTCTTGTTCCCCGCTCTTTATTTTTTGAGGATTACTAACTAGATCAAAGTAAAGCTTATATTCTGACCTTTCCATTGATATAAGTCAATCCCCATATCTACTTCATTTTTACGCTCCCCCTCTGAGATCCATGATATTGTATATAACCTAACCTCGTGTACCCACACGGCGATAGTTGTCAGGCATGTGTTTGTATACAATCTCTGTTTTGGAGTCGTCGGCTTGACCGGATTATTGATGTACTGATGATATTTTTTCATTATTTATTTTGAATTATTTATTTAAAATAAAATAAATATTTTTCATTAAATTAATTCAGTTATTAAAAAAAGAAGAAGTGTTTAAAGTGAGAAATGTTCACGTTATTCTTGTCTACAAGAAAGAATATTCAAAGATTTTTTTGTTCGAAGCAGAAAATAAGGCTTGTTTTACTTTGCCTTAACTTTAAAAACTTGGTGTAATTGTTCTAACGGTTGGATCATCTATTTTTTGGTAGCTCTTGGTGTTGTTGAAATGGAAGCGGATTCCGTTCCAGAATGCTTTCTTTGCCAGGAGGGTGTTATGGATGACGGTGTAAATGTTACTTGTGGTTTAGAAAATTTGATTCGAGTGAGCAAGAAGAGATGCGATAATTTCCACCTATTTCTCCAGAAACAATCCTCTGTACGAATACACAACAAGTGTAGGGACCGCTGTAATATTAAATTTCGAGGCAAGTTCGCGTACAACGAGTTTGACAAGCACTCTTCAAGACAGTTGGACCATTTAACGAGCCCGAAGAGACAAAAGAAGCGCTCCCATAGTGGCTTTGACTTCAAAAACAATTGTTTGTTCTGTCAGTTAACTGCTTCGATAAAAAAGGAGAAAAGAAAGAGCAGTTTGGTAAAGAAGCGTACCATCGTACTTGTTTCAAACAAAGAATTCAAGACCACACTTCTGAATCAGATCACAGCTCATATTGATATAGAAAAGTATAAATAATTTCTGGAATCGACTTCACAGTTGTTGGTGCAAAATATCATGAAGTCTGTCGACTGGCATTCTATCAATTGTCTGAAGAAGCTTCTGGTAAGGCTAAACCGAAGGGACGGCCCAAGGACTCAGATATTTCAGCACAGATTGAGAGAATTGTTTCTTATATTATGGAAACTGGGGAAGAAATGTACACCATGGCAGAGTTGACCAAAACTGGAGGTATTTATCATTATTAACCAGTTACATGATCTGAAAGTAACAAAAATATTATTCGGTCATTGGTAGTGTTTAAAAAGTACAGGGAAGTGAACTGACAATGGTTCATATGGATTACCGAATGATAATAAAATAAATAATTAAACTGTTGTTCAGTTTTTGGGACTTTAACCGTCTCAAGAACGGCACACCAAAGGCGAATTACTGAAAAAACCTCACAATAGCTCTTGTGGTGAGCTCTTTCGCTGCCAAATGGAAGGTGTAAGCCAGTTTCAGCTTTGAAATGAATGGCATTTCCACGTTACAAGCTTTGGACGATGTAGATTCATTAATTGTGCAAACAGCACTCCAAAAAGACTCTGTAGGTGACCTACCAGTGGTAGTAGTGGCAGAGGATATTGACATTCTAGTAATATTAACAGCATTGACCCCAGAACACCGGAAAATTTATTTCTTAAAAGCTGCCAAGGGAAATAAGACTGACCAAGTGTACTTTTCCAGGAGCCTGGATGCGCATTCCTTTATGAGAGACAACATTCTGTTTTTGCATGCAATGACTGGGAGCGATACAACCTCTACTTTTTTCAGAAAAGGGAAAAAGTCAGTAGTGTCAAGTTTGTCTAAAATAGTGGAAAACGATCAACCCCATGAACTCAATCTTTTAAAAATCAGAACCTTCCCCGAGAGACTATATTCGCGAACGGAGAAACTGTTTTGCTGTCGATTTACAAATTGCCAGCGGAAATAAAAACTCTCCAGGCCGCCCGGTCCTGGTCTTTCAACCACTTGTCCACAAACAAAACTGCAATAAAACTAGAATGCTTGCCCCCTACCGCTGAAGCTGCTAGGGAGCACTTTTATAGGGTATATTTACAAGTACATAAAGGATTAAATAGAAAAGTACAATTTGGTAAGAGATTAAATAGTAAAAAGAAGAAATATATTATTATCACAGTATAATATAATCTAAACATTGCATAAAATGTCTGTGATATAATCTTTTTACTTGCAATTTAAAAAAATAGAACTATATAAATTTCTTAATGACAGGTATTACATCTCTTCCATGGGCCGATTCCTTGAAGAGCAAAAAGGCCCTTTTTGCACATTGATGCTTTTTCCAAAGGTTATTTCGCATTTCTTATTCTCAAGGGCCCACAGACTGATGCCCACTGACTTAGGCATACTGAATGAGGCCCAGTCATTGAGGCCCGATGTCTAAACAAGAATCCACTGCCCGAACGAGGACCCACTGCCCGAACGAGGCCCGCTTCCTGAAAGAGGGCCCTCAGCTTGAACGAAGGTCTACCGGTCTTTTGCCGGTAGACCTTAGGTGAAATTATAAATAATCATTTCATTATATTTAAATGTCAATGTCGACTGGTTGAATACCACTCGACTTTATGTCTAACAACAAATGTCGAATTCGACATTCCAGAATACGTTTTTGCGTTCTTGTTCGACATATTATCAATGTCGCCTGTGACATTTAGAAATAGACATTCAAAAATAGGGCCCCAGACCTCACAGAATCCGGCCCCACCAGAACTCTTGAAGATGATTTTTTGTCAGTGTAAAAGAGGCTGCGAGAAGAATTGTTCATGTTTGAAAACAGGTCTGAAATGCTCGTCCATCTGTGGTTCGTGTCAGTTGACTCAATGTTCAAATTATAAAAGAAATGAAGGTATATTCCCGGAAAAAGTGGAAGTAGAAATAGAGGTGGAAGAAGAGACAGAAGGGTTGCAAAGCGAGGAGGCAGAAATGCAGCTGGAGGAAGAGAGAGAAAGGTTGACAGGGGGAAGGGTAGAAATAGAGCAAGAGGGAGTAGGCGACGAGAATACCGTTGACGATGGAGAATATGTATATGATTCTGATGACTTGGAGTGGTTGACCACACCCTAAAGGTTGTTATGTATGTTTTAAATCCAACCAATTCTTCCAAATTAATGTAATTTTTCAAATACTTCCGAATTTGTCCGAAATCCTGCACCCATATTATTCCGAAAAAAGTTTGCAAAAAAATCGCAAAAATGCGAAAAATGTTTAGAATGGTTGTATGGTGAATATTCACCACGCTCTAAAAGTTGTCATTTGCTTTTAGCCAAAACAACGGGATTCAAGACCTTGGCACAAGGAAAAACAAATTTTTGCAATTTTCTGGTAAATTTGCAACTCAAATTGCACAGAACATTCGCTAATATAATGTAGAGAGCCCAAGCGTTACTTTGCAGAAAAATCAGGTGAAATCCGCCAGTAATTGTCGAATAATCGATTATTTCCGAGATTTTCATTTACGGACTCCGTAATTTAGCGAGAAGAGCAAAGGTGCTGGCGCCATCTACAATTGGTCTCTAAAGTCCAAAAGATGAAGATCAATGCATTTCCAACCCCATCGAGCGGAAATTCGGCAAGAAACTACCATATCTATTCAATTTGAAAGTTATGAACTTTTCGAAGTCTGATTTTGCAAAAAATATTGGCATTGTGAAAAAATCATCGTCATCATTTTTGTAGAGAATGAGCTGATCTTCATTTTTTGTTTGAACAAAAATTCTCTAATTGTCATATTTAGCCAGATATTAGCGGGAAACCCGTTTTTCAGAGTTTAGAGGTCCATTTTCAGCCCCTTCCGGTACCAAGAACGCGTTAAGGATTTTTTTACAGTTGTCGATCTTTCCAGTCCTTCATTTATTGGACTAATTCGATTTGAACTAATAATAGTGGGGATATAAGCTTTGGCACGTTTGGCTTTATGTTTTCCTTTAACGCGTATATACCGTCTCGTGGCGTCACAAATAACTTAGCTAAGTCTCAAACCACTTATCCAAGTTTCAATTCTCATCACTGAACGATGGCACCGTCTCGCGGTGACTTTTGGAAGTAGTATCGCCATTATTCTCATTATATACTTTATAAAATCACCAATTTAGTTATTGTGAGTGATTATAATATTAGTATAATTGATATATTGAACTGAAAGTTATAAATTTCTTTTCTTTTCAGTTAAATACCTCAGAGAAGTTACACCGTACTTCCGAAAAGCCAGTATAATCTCCGAAGTGGGCTGGGAGTTGCAGCGAGGATTCCTATCGGGAGCTCCACCTGTTGTAAGGTCACCGCAACGAGCAGACACTAGATACCTTCCCCTCCAATTATGCCATCTGGCGAGGAACTTCAGATTTCCCGATCCAGGTTAGTTTAATATATTTTTTTTATACATTTACGAGAATATAAATTATATAAAATTACATCTCCAACAACTTATTTATAGACCTGATTTTTACGCAAACCAACATTAAACATTGGCAAGGGGTAACGTAACATAAAAAATAAAAACAATATTTCATGGCATCTTCAAAAGACAAGACAAGAATATTGACAGTTTCTTTTCTCAAGATGACATCCTATCTATTAAGTTGGTCTCAAACAAAACAAAACGGTTTTGATTTTGATTAAATAATAATTATACAGTCACTTATGTCCAATAAAAGTTAAAAAAAGCTGTAATTTTCCAATGAAGAGGAAGAGCAATTAATAAAGCTTTATCTGTTTTTCTTGTTTTAAAAATGTTGGCCTTTTCTTTATTTTTCAATAGTTCTAGGTACTATTACATATTATAGAAAATTTTATACAGAAGATGTCGGTGGTTTGTTTTCTTTTTAAATCTTAACACATATCTCAGCTGCTTTCACTTGTCCAGATTCAGAAATAAGCCACCTAAAATATATACCAATTCAATAATAGATCGAAAAGAGCTATAATACACTTACTGGTTAATATTTTGTCGAACAGGCATCTTTGAGCATATTTTAATTTATTACATGGAAGATTCCTGTAAATAAAATATTAATATAATAATAAACAAGATCAATTAATACAAGAAGAAACAATTATTTAATTGGCAGCAAATATATTTGGAAATACTGTTTACGTTACTATGGTTTTGGTCTTTACTACATGAAAATTCATTACTATAGTCTATTTATATGTATGAGAGAGTATTAAAATAATAAAGCGTTCGTAATCCATAGGCGTAGCACTTCGTTTAGTAGACAGTTAAAATATTTTTTGAAGTTATTCCTCGAGTATACACTTATATTTTCACCTAATTAACCTGCTTATAACTTCTAAACAGCTGAAGGTAAAAAAGTGCAATTTTTTCTAAAATTTTTTATTTTTCCACAAGGTATGTTAAGAACATTGTGTCAAATGGGTTATGTAGGTATAAGGGTTTAAACTTTGACTTTTAAACAACGTTACGTTCATAAATAATAATTTTAATATAAAAACTACTTCTTATACAAATCCAAATCAGAATCGAAATCAGAAGATGAACTGTCGCAACCAATATTTACAATAAGTGACTCGATCATTTCATCAGTAATATTGTCCAACTTCCACATTTTCTCTTCTTCTATAATCGTATGATTTACTGCCTTTTCCCAGTTTTCAGGCTTCACATTATTTACAGCCTCCAAAAACAACTGTTTAACATCACTTATTTTAAAAGAATTATTTTGTCTTTAAACTTCTCCCTTTATCTGTGCCCATATCAGTTCAATCGGGTTTACTTCGCAATGATATGGTGGTGATCTAACCACCGTCATCCCACGATTTTTTGCAATTTCATCAATTTCATATTTTTTGAATTTATCTTTATGAAAGGAACACAAATGATGCAGTTCTTTTCTCACAGAACTGGGATGGAACTTAATATTCTTTGAATTTAGCCAATTCTGTAAATATTTTTTTAACCACTTGGTTGTGGGCATTTTTTCTATAAGTCTCGAGTGATAACTTGCATTATCCATTACTATTAAATAGCTCTGAGGAAGAAAATCTATAATTTGTTCGAACCACTCTTTAAAGACATCAGCATTCATGTCCTTATGGTAGTCACCGGTACGAGTAGATTCAAAAGTCAATAAACCACCTTTAACAAAACCGTTTGAACTACCGATGTGTACTATTATTAGTCTGCGCCCCTTTCCTGATGGTGGATTTAAACCAGTAGATAAATTATTTAAAAAAGCTTGTCTTCGACTTGTAACAGTTTCATCTTGCCAAAATTTATTTGGTTTATGTCCCTCGTTGATCTATGTTTCATCTAAATAAAATATACTTCTTCTTTGTTTTCTCATTTCTTTTATAGTCCTTAGGTAATTTCTTCTCTATACTACAATATCGCTTCTTTCTATTAAAATAGACTTTCTGGAATGCTTTTTCCATAGAAAACCTATTTCTTTTAAAAGTTTCCATAGTGTTCTTCGACTCATTTCAGGGTAATCCTTATCATCTCGAACCGTGGCAAGAACTTTGTCTCTCTTTCCTAAAGAAGAACGCATGCACTTTCCTTCGAAGTCTTTCTTTCAAAAGATTTTCTAATTGAAATTTTGGGTTTCCTGGAGCTTTACGTGCTGTTTAAAACTCGCCACATTTCTCTTCTTTAACAACTCTGTAAATCGTAGATTTCCCAACACCAAGCGTACTACTAACTAATTCCACTGGGTCATCAACACTTTTACATAAATGTTTGTCTGTAAATGATTTAAAACAATTAAATATTAATGTTTTTTCATTAACTGTTAAAGGACCGATTTTTTGTCGTTTACGCGGCCCTTTCAAATTTTCCATGATCACACTAGAATTCACACTGCACCTTGCAAGTTGCAACTAAACGACATTTAGTAAACTGTCAAGAATACACAACTCGGACTCCTTACTAAATGGAAAACCTATAATCGAATTTTCGGTGAAATTTGTTATAATTCGATTACTGTAAGAAATTCTTGGAATTAAAATAAAACAAAATTGGCAAATAGGTACTTATTGAAAATACTCTTAAGATACGGCTATGTAATCTTTAATACACAGGGCTTTTGGCCTGTCTAAACCTTTTTCTATTGTTCTGTACAGCTTATGTTTATAAAGGACCAATGAAAGACCCAAAACTTGTAATAGCTTAGGTACATTTATTACAATTTTAGGAAATATTTAGATTATTCTGTAAAAATATTTAAAATGACCATACTAAGTTTTGCATTAGAAATGCTGTCTTATTACTCTCTCATACATAAAAATAGACTATAGGAGAAAAACCAAAATTTGGTAGATATTCACATAAATCATTCACAAATCACATACATATGTTTCGAATTACGAATTATTCTTCAGGTTGTAAACTACACAAATAATTAAATGTTTATTTTACGTATGAAGTTTATTAATATTAAAATAACGTTACAAAAATAATAATTATTAAAACAAATGGAATAACACAGTCTTAACAAAGAAATCGACTGCATTCTTCAACGGTGTTCGATAATCTGCCCATCCAAATAGTTGACCCACTAATTGAACCTTTGAATATGATTGAACGACCCTTTTCTGTCGACCGCCCGTTTTACGATGTTTTGGTTTCCCAGAAATCATCTCGGGTTAAGGGATCATCCAAAAATAGATTACAAGGTGTTACTAGTTTCCTCTATTTACAAAAAATAACAAGTGCTACAGTAATTTAATAGATAATGAGTTTAATTTGTAATCTCTAACCTTTCGTATGTAATAAGAATTATAACAGGATATATCTTTATCGTATAACTAATTCTTTATTGAACTCAAATCATCGGTCAAAAATATGCTATATTACTTGTAACTTTTAATAGACTAAGATAATCTTAAAACTGATAAAAATTATATAAAAAAATATTACAGATAGTGTGTCATTACCTGTTATAACTTTTTCTTTAGAAAAAAAAATGTACAATAATAAATATTGACTGTTTAAATTAAGATTTTCTAAAACAAGGTGTTTCAAAAATTATGTTACCACTTATTTACTTATTTAATATAATAATAAATCTTAAACTTTGATTTATTCAGACTCCTTCAAAAATCTTTTAAATTTTTAAAAGTAACTTCGAAATGACTGAATTTTTTGAACATGTCACCATTATCGTGCTAATCTTGATTATTCGATATCAATCAAAATCAAGAACACGTTTTCTCATAATAATTTTCGAAGCTATCGATCACCTTTAGAAACCCAGTGCACATCTGTTTCACGTAAACCACACAAACATCTAAAATTACTTAATGGATACGACGACGGCGACGAGGGAAACTTTCACGTTGCCTGGCAAATATTTGTAGTGAAACTAAATAGAAAACAATCCCGCTAGTTTCCTCTGAAAAGCATGCGAAAATTTACAAGAGCCATCGACGATGTTTCGAACCAGAGAACCAAATCAACAAGGCTCGAATTAGGTTTGGACGGGAAATGAAACATCCTGTCAATAGAGAATATCACATATTGTGCTCGACTGAAGGGTATTCAATTTTGCAATTTGATTCGTGGCTTACTGGTAGTTAATAGAGCTGGTGACGATATTAACAATTATTGTTCTACGGTGGCGAGGCATTTTTTTCAAAATAATCATAAATTTTTTTATAAAAAGTAAATCTAAATCGTTTTTCTTTCATTAGACAGGACCGGCAAACTAAAAGAGATGGAGGGGTAGGTATTTACTTTAAAATAGTTTTCATTATAAAGTTATACCACAGCTTATACAATACAGCTCCACAACTCCGTGTCGGCGTCTTTGATCTGGCGGTCGAGAACCAAGCAAGACGGAATGGTGCTATCTCTGTTAGATTCAAGGGAAAAGTCGGGCCCGGATTAAACAATTTTTTTATTATTGAAAAAATTGAAAACCTTGGCGTAATAAGGTTGGTCACATGCCATATTAAGTAAGTTTTGGGAAATTACATTTTTAATTTGTTTTAAATCTTTCAAATATAATTAAAAAAATTATTTAAATATAAATATTACGAAAAATAGCACATCTTTCGGATTAGAGGTAAAATAATTTATATATGGCTAGTAAAATCCTCGTTAACAAATGTTTTGAGCTAAAACAGTCACTTCACGACAAATTGTGGCTTGGATCCATTTTACACCAAGGGCTTCAATTGTTAAAGAATTGTGTCACGCTCGTGGATGCAAATCAAGTGGTACCCCCGTGTCTCTGGCAAGTGTTACTCTTCGCGCAAAGGGTTTATACCTAGATAAACGAATGCTTCGACTGAGGTCTGGGAACTCTATGGTATTTTGGAATTATAAAGAATGTGTGCTTTTGTTTTAACAATATTGGTTATATTTAGATGTATTCTTATTATTTGAAATACAGATT